CTATATATGTTGAAAATGTTAAAACACTTCAATGTCCCTTTGCATGATTTGATCACTATCTTTAATGGCTTTATAAGACCCCTCACTGAATATGCTGCACCGGCCTGGCACTCACAACTCACTGATAATGAAACCAAGAATCTGGAAAGAATCCAGAAGAGAGCCTGTAAAATTATGTTAGGACACCGTTATCATAACTATGATAACGCACGCACTCTCTGTGGATTAGCCACACTTAAAGAACGCAGAGAGAAAATTTGCCTGGACTTTTACAACTCACTAATGGTTAATTTTAAAAACTGGATCCCTAAAATCAGATTTGAGTGCCATGGTAGGAAACTTAGAAATGCCAATCAACTGTCTCTCCGTAGCAATAGGACCAAAAGATATTTTAATAGCCCATTGCAATATATGACCAGACTTTGGAATGAGAGAAGGGCCTAAGAAGAAGGAAAGGGAAAGAAAGGGGAATGAAGGGGCGGGGAAAGAAAAAAAAATAAATAAATAAATAAAAATATATTTTTTTTTATTTTTTTTTTTTTATTTATTTTTTTTTATAGATTTTATCAATTTTAGGTAATGTATCGTCATAATAATATAGCTAGTTGGTGTTTTATACACCATTTTGCATGTCTCATCTGTTTATGTAATTGTTGTCGTGTATAGATTTTTAAAATATTTTTTAAATTTTAAGTGCCTAATGGTTTTAATGTCTGTTCCAAGTTTGTCTCTTGCCTTTTTAATGTCTCTTTTTTTGAATCTGTAAAATTGTAACAATTCAGTCTTTAATACAGTACTGCAATTACAATTATTTTTGAATAAAATACCTTTATGAATGAATGAATGAAAAAAAGGATTGAACATTAGTAATTGTTCTACTTGAACCTAGGCATGTGGATTTAGAAGGAAGACATTTTAACCACCAAGCACCAGCTACGGTTGTACAACATGCACGTGTAGGGATTTAGTTATGGTGGAAGGAGCTACCCAGCCATAAGTTTTCCATCCAGTCTAAAGCTAATTTCATGGCCCTGCACCTACCTTTATCAACCCCCATGCCCATCCTTAAAATCCAATCTTATTACTGTAGAACCCCTCCTTTGGGACACCCCTATTAAGGGGACACTTATTTGGCAATGAAACAAGGGAAAGTATATCTTTCAACACTACGGCCAACCCCTAGTTAGGGGACACCCCTATTAAAGGGACACTCTTTTTGGTCCCGAAGGTGTCCTCTCAATTATATATCCTTAAAATGCCTACCACCTATCCTTATTTTTCTACAGCTACAACCCTGCACTAATAATGTCCCCAGAGATGTTGTTCTTTGACTGAAAATTCAAAACCACTGTTGTGGAACAAGCATATTTTTTTAACTAGGTATGTATGAATTATGAGTATAAGAGTTTTATCACTAAGATTCAATGACACAGTGTTGGGGAAAGACATCATTATCTCAAACACAATATTTAACAGCATTCTATGCATAAACTTGAAAATTAGTGTTGTTAAGTAACACAAAGTGTTAAGAATATGTTTGTTTATTCGTTCAGATGTAAAGAGTACTACAGAAAGCCGCAATTAGAATCTGTATTAAGCCCCATGAAGACTATATTAAATTTTCTTTGACAAATGCCCATATATAGTCATGATGTGCTTATATAAGCTTATTATGTGATGTCATCATAAATATATTTGGGCATGTCACATATAAAAAAGCTTGTTTTTCTAATGCAATCAAGTATTAAAAGACATCAAGAAATAACACTATTTAAAAATAAAATAGGTAAAAAAATACAATGAGTAGCTTGGCGATTATGAGTTTTGCCTTTCGATTCTAGGGTGACGGGTTCAAACCCTGCCACACCAGTATTTTCTCTGACAACTAAAAAAGCTCCACTCCCTCCACTCCCTCATAAAGAGACTTAGTTTATAAAGCGTCATTTCATCCTGTAATCTGTAAAGTGTAACTGCTGATGGATGTGAAAAAAAATTTTAAAAATATTTGGAACACAAAATTTATGTCTGCCTAAAAAAATAATTCTAAAAGCACAGCAGCCAATGTGAACTAAATTGCATTGAAATTTAACAAATTGCAATATTTTTAGCTAAATTTGAACAACAGCTGAAATGATGCTTAAACAATATAATGAAATTTGATACCATAAGAGATGCTTATTTCATGCATATTTCAGGCTTGACTCATTGTGATCAAAGTCTGTTCAATATGTTGAGAATATTATGCGATCATTATAATTCACTATTGTTCTGTTAAATATGCTTCCTTTGCATTTATTTGTTTCTAAAGCTCTCTCCACTCTATCAAATTTTCAGACAAAAAAACTGTTGCATGCTCATATAGTCATGAAGTGCCTATATATACTTATTATGTGATGTCATCATGATCATATTTAGACATATCATATGTTTTTGTCAAATAAAATTTTATAGTCTACACAGGGTTTTAAGAAGAACATCATAAAAAGGCTTGTAGTTCTAATATAATTAAGGTATTTTTAAAATTTTCCTCATTAAGATAAATAACTTTCATGTTAATTTTTTTTTATGGTAAATCAATCAAAATGTGGCCAAGAGCCATTCTAAGTAATGGAAGCACTCATTATTATAATTATTAATATTACATTATTACGGAGAAAAAAAAAGCATTATCTTGATAGTTCAAAAATAAGAATATAAAATATTGAATCATGCTTTTTAAATTGTTATACTTTTTAATATATTCTCCTCTTTACAACGTGCAACCTAAAATGAAACATACTTAACCCTCTAGATACCGTCTTCGACTGTAGTCGAAATTGATCCAAACAGAGATGATTCCCATTTTCGACTGCAATCGAAATTTCGTGACTAAAAAAATAGGTGGTTTTGAAATCGCTCTTCTGTTTTTATTTTAGCTCCAATACGTCAGAAATTTTAAACACGCATGCGTGAAGCTTTTGTTTTTCGAAATCTGTGAAGAACTCACATGCGCTTATATAAAAATGTTTAGAAATATCTTCTGACGGTGGAGATGTTCTAGATGAAGATGAGCCTAGGCCTAGAAATGTGAGGGTAGTCGACGCTTTTGAATGGAAAGATCGCGCTTATAGTTATGGATGGTTGGGTAAATAAATTATATAACTGTGTGGAATAGGAATGTTTTATATTTGTTTTAATTTTTTTTTGGCTATAATTTATTTTTTTTCGGTTTTTGCTGACGATTTATATGTAGCATTTTTCTGTCATTTCTATTATATTATATATATATTATATTATATTATGAAAAAAAAAATCCCAAAAATATAAATTATACATCAAATGAAAGCTTATTCTATAAGCTTTCTTTGTTTTTAGAAACATTTTTCTGTATAATTTACAGAAAGTTCCCAAAAATCCACCAGAACGACGTATACTCAAAAAAAGCAAAAAACCTTGTTACACTGCAAAAGAATCCGGTATTCAAGGGTTTGCACTACAAAAGAATCCGGTATCCAGAGGGTTAAAAGCACTTCAGCACTATCTACAAGAAAAAAAGAGCATATTTTACCTTGTCTTCCAATGCGTCAATTATCTTTTGCAGTCGTGACAACTCTGACATGGCTGACTGGCTCTAAAATGTTGGAAAAAATATAAATATTTTAGGAATTAAAAGGAACATTAGCAACTGGCAGTGAAAAAAAATGAAAACATTTTAGAATATTATATTTTAAGAACAACTTTACAACAATTTAATTATTTATTAAAATCTACTTCTTTCCAAATTCATGCTGGAATTCAGAGACATAATGTGCATCATTTTTTAGATTCCTTGTTTACAAACTTAATATCACATACATACGCATCCATCTTATATCTAAATGGATATTTCTAGAGTCCAATCAAACTTAACAACTGACGAATCCGAATAGGGCCATACACGCGTAAGTCCTACGAACTCACTTGACTCGCAAACACATTGTTAGTCACATTTAACACACGTTGTCCAACAAACGCACGTTGTCCATGTCCACAAACACACATGCCCGGCAAACATATGTGTTGTCCTACTTAACACACATGTTGTCCAACAAACACACCTGTTGTCCCACAAGCACATATGTCCCGCAAACACATGTGTTTTCCCACTTAACACACACGTTGTCCCACTTGACACACATGTTGTCCAACAAAAACACATCCAGCAAACACATGTGCTGTCCCACTTAACTATACAGGTTGTCCCAATTTACACACTTTGTCACACTTAACGCACATGTTGTCCAACAAACACACATGTTCTGCAAACACATGTGCTGTCCCACTTAACTATACAGGTTGTCCCAATTTACACACGTTGTCCCACTTAACACACATGTTGTCCAACAAACACACATGTTCTGCAAACATGTGTGTAGTCCCACTTAACACACATGTTGTCCAACAAGCACACATGTCCCACAAACATGTGTTGTCCAACAGACATGTTTACATATGTTTACGCTCTCATTTGTAGGGACATAGCAACAATGTCCTTGGAGACAGGGCGTAGCAGACTGACACACTGTACAGTTTCCTACTGCTAGCTAAAGTAAAAGCTACAAACCTTTGGTTCAACCTTGCACCAGAGTTTGGCGACTTCATAAGCATCTTGGAACCGGTTAAGTTTAGCAAGGGCGATTGTTTTCCTACTTAGAGCTTTGCCGCTGCGGTTTTGTGTCAGATGTAAAAGTTCATCGCAATCCTCAATGGCCTTTTCATATTTTTCCTTGAGTAGAAAAAAATTAAAACTTGATTAAAATGTACTTTTTTAATGATAGAGTATGTGATTTAAATCTATTCTTGCTCCACAAAAAACAATTAAAAAAAAAAAGCAAAAAAAAAAAAAGAACAAAAAAAAACCAGATTGTTAAAGCACAAGAGTGATTTTTTCCCTTCACAATCACCATGGGTTTCAATCAGTAGACCATTGACCAACAGCCTCCCTTGGCCTCAGCATAAGGTTGCTTTGCTCATATACTCGTAAACAGAATGCTTACACTGTCATCACATACCTATGTTCATGACATGGGCCCCTACAGCACAGACAACTGTATGACTCATCTGGCTATTATTATTTATCAGAGATGTAATCTTCATGGCTAAAGAGTAGCATCCATATTTACATCTCGTATAAACTTATAAACAGAATTGTTTATTGCCGTTCTCAAATGTGAGTATCAATTAGTTAATTACAGCCACTATGAAAACATCTCCAAATGAAATGACCAACCATTTGTTAACACAAGTATATTATTTACCACGTGGTGTACTGTAAACTTATTTTATACAAAAAAAAAATTGTTTATTGTTTTTCTCAAAAATGAGTATCAATCAGTTAATTACAGCCAACAGAGGAAAATATCTCGCCTGAAATGAGAAACATTTGTTAAACTTTGTTATTTATTACTTATTATAACTTGTGGTGTAGTAACTGGGCTTTTATAAACCACTTATTTACTCAATATTGCAGAATAAAAAATGTATGATTATAAATGATTCATAATATATTTATACTATATTAATATATTGGAGATAATACACAGATTGATCTGTTCAAGCATCAAAATGCCTCTTTTCGTAATTGTAATAAAAAATTTAGAAAATTTAGATGGTACAGTAATTAGGAAAAAGGAACCAATTACAATTTTAAATGTGAAAATACCATATTATTATATTAGCTTATAATTGTTTAGTATATTAACTATATATTAGTACAGTACTCATCGTATTTGATGTTTATTATTGAGGAAGATGTGAGATTCAGCTTTACTAAAATAAAATCGAATAGATTAAAATCACTGCCTATTTATAGGGTCTTTAAGAACAGGAAAACGTATGCCACTTTGCGACAATATTACAAATTTATTTTATTTATCTATTAAAGCATTATAGTACATTATGTCTTGCAGGCCTTGTCATTTGAAAATGGCAGGCGAGCAATAAATCACTCACCATAATTTTCAGGCGAGTGATTATTTTGCGGGATGGCGCGGGTGGAGGGGGCAGGGAGATTAAAGAAATATTGCAGATGAACGTTCAATCGCTACACAGTGTAATCAACAGGAGACAACAAGACATCAAATTTAACTTCTAATATTTACATGTAGAGTAATAATAAAGTGCACACTCCCAATACAGAACACCCCGCCACACTTGTAATTTACACTAGTGATGAATCTAACAACATCCAAATAAAAGTCTACTAAAAAAGAGTCAGCATTCGTAAAAACTTGCTTTGAGTTCCGTCTTCATTTCAGGTGGATTCCAATCAATTTTTAAGGAGCAATTTGTACTTTATTAAACAATGGAAGGCGTAATTTTCTCTTGGTCTAACCATTAAACTTTAACGTTTACTGGTGTGTCGTTTTAAATCAATAGATAATCTCTGGCAGCAGTACCCTACTGGGACTGAGAAAGCAATACAAACGATTCATTCACAGGGTTAGCCCTACATTAGTTGTTAATTCCTAGACAGCAATGTGAATATTGCGTTATTTCGTTCGGAAATCGTTGTTTCATTAATTGTTTGTTCGGTATGTAGAAGTTCCAACATTGTACACAAAAAAAGTATAATGACCAACGATATCGGTATAAAGGCATTTTTCAGCCTAGGCCTAGCATCTTTTACGTTGGTAAATAATTGCCATGGTCAGCAAAAATTGCGTTGGCATTTCGAGGGCTGTGGAGGTAAGTTATTTTGAAATGTAAGGCGAGCTATTTTTCACACCCCTCGAGAGCAGTTTAGGTGTGCGATGGCGCGCGAGCATGATCGTGCGCCTTGAATGACAAGGTCTGGTTCTGGTAAACAATTGTAATGCCTGAAAGTTGAAGTTAGAATACCTTTTCCATGCAGGTTAATATACTACAGGAAATAAAACTATATGCATTTTTTTTAAATGCCATTGTTGAACTTCTTTATCCTTATATCGATATTTTTTAATTAGCAAAAAGGCGAGCAATAATATTGATAAAATTTGGTCATATTATGGTCATACCAATGCTTACTTCAATAAACCAGGTAAAAGTGCCTGGGGCTGAATTATCTTAGGAAGGCACTTAAGATTGCTTAGCAACTAAGTGGGATGCTAATTAATATTCCTTCTGGACGTTTCATGGATATTATTATTATTACTTATTACATCCCAGATTGCAAGTTCATCATATCATCAAGGTTAGCGCTTACAGATTTAGTCTGACTACCTACCTTTACAAACACATTCCTTCAAATTGATTTACGTTTAATCCAATTAATTTGTCACAGAAGAAGAGTTATCTTGTTTCGTTAGAGCAGGTGGAAAATATTTTAGATTTTCAAGTTTCAATGTATCTCACATAATTCTATTCCTGCAATGTATGTTGAAAATAATGATACACTTTCAACCTACCATTACTATTTTACTGTACTGTCTGTCTGTTGAAAATGGTGGTGATATCATAATTATTTATCATGAGCCTGTCATAATTATACTACGACACTTAAAATGGTGATCATAAATAATTATGAATCTGCCATAAATTAATTGTATACCTGTTGAAAATGGTCATGTAACAGTTTTTTCATTTGCACCTGGCAGCCATTATGAGATTTCCGAATTAGATTATTTTTGTATACATTAATTGATAATAGGAAATAAAATACACTTACTAATTTCAGGTAACACTGTGATCTTTTGTTTACATAGGAGAGATGTAGGTCTTTCTGTGAGGTTGGTCTTACATATTCTAGAACTTTGGTGAAAAGAATGGCGGCCTGCAGATAATGTTGTTGTTGATACTGTGTGTTGGCTTGCTCGTGAAGCTGTTTGTGCTTCCCGTCCATCTTACAGCCACCTTCCCCTGTGAACAAACGCAATAATTGATTTTATTAACTCATTATAATATAACTGTTTACTATAAGCAGGCACCCAAAACTGTACCTCTCTCTCTGCCAAACCATGTTATTAATGTGATTTTGTAAGTTTCTGTGACCTCACCACGAACTTCACTTTTGATCAATTTCACACATTAATTTATTTACCTCTCCACTGAATTTTATGACGATCCATTCACTAGTATTTGCATAAAACTACTAACCAACATACAAATGGCAGTGAATGTATAACCTATGTGGTGAAGGTTATAATATGATAAACAATATTATCAATACTAACTATATAATAATACCAAAATAGCAACAGCAACAATTTAGCAATTACTGATATCACTAAATTGGTTCAGAAACACAGATTTTTTCACATCACATTTTGTAAAGTACAAGAGAGATACGTTATTGTAACTAGAATTCTGAGTTTTTTTGCCATAGCAGAGAATGGCAATTTTTTGCCAACCTAGATCTAGGATTTTTTAGCTTCAATAACTGCATAAATTGGTGGCAAGCCAAAACTTTGACTGAAACAGGCCATAACAGAAATTAAATTTTACGTATGTCGTCAAACCAAGGTACGTAAAACTGATTTGTTTGTACAATATTTAATTTTGGCAAGGCCTAGCCTACGTACGATTGTGTGCGTGAATTGTCTTGAATTTCTCGACTATGGGCCTAGCCTAGGCCTAGTCGTTTGGTAGAGTAGCTAGCTACTACTAGCCAACCTAGGCCTAAAACATCGGCCAATTGAAGGTATAGCTGCCTAGATCGTAACACAAACCTTATTTATTTTCATTGTAGAGTATTATTATCATTTTCTAAACATTGTTTATTATCTAAAAACAACCAAATTAAACATAAGTACAGTACATGTGCGGGAAGCAAGTTTTTTTTTTCCTGCAGGTAGGTTGAGGTTATTGCAAGTTCTAAGCCAATAACTACACAACCTACCTCCAAAAAAAAAAACACTTTTATGTTGGTGGCGCACTTTACAGCTTGTTCCCTGCACTCGAGATGAATAAAAATGATAATTTTCCATCGATTATCGGCATTTTTTAGTCGATTTTCGTCATTTAAAAAAAAGCAGAAAAATAGAGGGCCGGCTAGAAAATCAGGGGCGGGCGGTGACCTTAACAAGTATATCTTTTTTATTTGGCCTTTTTGGCAATTCAGATAAAGTGTGACAATCTTGACCAAGGAGATAAGCAGAATGACGAGTATCGGTTTCAAACCCCAAATCTTAGAATGTCCAGCGCCTAGCATACAATAGTTCCTTTGAGTCAAATCACGATTTTCAACATAGAATACTGTACAGTACACAGGCCTCACAGATTTGTCATCTTGGCATGGGGGAATTGTCACTGAGAAATTTTAGTCACTTCCTTCAAATATGCGACAATGACAACATCACAGAATTTAATATCATCAAAATATTCTCACTTAGTACTGTGCAATCAAATATTGAGTGGTTCCAAATAATTTGTTAATAGAATTATCATCTTCCTTTACCATGTTGAACAATGATCCCTATTCTGTGATCTATTGTATTTGCAAATAATGAAGACTTCAAAAACTGAAATAAAATTCTGATTTGCTCATTAAAACAGTGCTTTAACCTTCTTCACTTTTAGTCACTCGCATATAAAAAAAGAAATGGTTTACAGACAATTGTTTAATAGCAGAGGCTTGCCAGCAGAAATTTAAGGGTGCGCTATGTAAACTATAGAAATGTTTTATTTTTTCAACTGAACACTCAGAGTTTAAGCTGTCATTAGCCAAATCCTAATAAAGCAAAAGGCTAATGGAATTGAAGCTATCATTACTTATAAATATTCTTTGTTTTGGCTAATCAAATTTCTATTTGGCCAATTATTTTCATAGTGAATTAGCCAAATTGCTAATTATATTTTTTTGGCCAGCTTAAACCCTGAACACTAATAACTTCAATATTATTTATCAAGCAATTTTATTTATCAATAAATTTTCACTTCCTACACTCCAGGGGCCTATGCGGCCTCAGTAGAAGGTTACGTGCTTTGCCTACTGTACACAGCATCTACTATTTTCATGCCCCTAGGCCCCTTACTTGTGCATTACCACTACTTATTATTATTTAGATATTATCTCCATTGCTAAACAGAAGCATGTTTATTTACATGATCTCATATAAACTTGTAAACAGAAATGTTTGCTGTTGTTCTCAAATGTTTTATCATCTATTAGTTAATTGAAGTCATTGGAGAGAAACATCTGAAACTAAACAATAAACTTAACATGTACAATCATTTGTATAAAAAAAAACAAAAAAAAAAAACACTATGATTGATTATTAATACCTGTGATGCATTAAAGTTTCAAAATTGTATTGTTTTTATTTTCTTAAATTTAAATTAACTGCAACTTAATAACTTATTAAAATTTTGTTCTCCATCATAAAAATTGATTAAGCATGAAAACCATAATACACAGTACTCAGATCCATTTACATAAACCAACCCAGTGTAAATTATGTATTCATTAAGTATCATTTTTACAAATGATTGATACTGAAAAAAAATGAATATAATTCACATTCAAAACTATGAGTGGAGAACATACATGGTCTGATTTGTTCCGACATCAAAACACATCTAGTTTAATCGCGATCATTATGTAATGGTGAAAATTTAATTGTAAAAATCTAAAACTTAAGTAATTACTCTAATTACAATTTGAAACAATACTGTTGTTACAATGCCTGGTGACAATGGGTATAAACATGCAACAATTTAAACTGTGACATGACAGTGCCTTATGATTTTATGTGATTCAGCCAATTCAGTTTTAAATGTGTCCAGCAGGTTTGAGTACGATGCGCAGAATAATGTTTTATTAAAAACAGGTAGGGCCTACTTCAGTATGCATCTTTACCTGGCAACAAGACCTAGCCAAATGACACTGGGCAGAAATCAAATGGCCTGACTTCAGTGCCAAATTTACAATTTATTTCGGCCGTGTTCATTTAATCTGCCGAGTGTGACTTGTAATTGAAATAGTTTAGTGGAACAACCATAAGCATTAAAATTATTTTTATTTTATTTTGGTTTGAGATCAACATACATCCACTGCACTGGGTTGTACATGAGACAGACAACTCGAGTGGTGACCATTTTGAGTGGTAGCCAAAATGCCCATACCTGTAATTGTGCACACTATGAGAAGTGACGGCCTACTGTACAGAGTTGCACACTACTGTAAGGGTAAAGTACAGAAACATCTCCAAATTACGAACCTCCCATTTACAAACTCATGATTTTACGAACCCAAGTTGTGGTGATAACGGCATTACGAACGATCGTTTTGAACTACAAAAATGCTTAAAATATTGCAGTCTAGGGTCAGACTAAATCGCCGACTTGAAATATTTACCCCACTAACAACGTGTTTTTGTAACTCACGATAAAGTGAAACAAATTAAGATGATTGTATACGCAGGTTTAATATATCCTCAGTGTGTTAAACAAAAGAGAAATCAAGTTTAGCTTTAAAAAGGAGAAATTAACACGTTTTGCTAGCCACATGCGATGGTTCCTGATTTGCACGAAATCCCCTCGCGTTGCATCACCTAGCTCAGCCTAGCTTCACCATAACACAACAACAAAGATGGCGCCGCCCTTGCTCGGGCTCAACTATAATAGTTCTCCAAAGAAAGCAAATTTTCAGTGACTATTCAAATTCTTTAATGTAATATGTTAACAACTAATATATTTATTGTTATAGAAATTTTAATTAAGCGAATGATGGTCTGTTATGAATTATGAGGAAATACGTTTTTGAACCAGCTTAATATTCATCCGCGTTACCGGATCTCTAAAATTTCGTCTGCTATTAAAGTTAGCCCTTTTCATTGGTTAGTTTGATAGTCGTGGATTGCCAGTTTCAGGTGAACTAAAACTAGGACTTGATTTAGTCGTAGTTAAAACTTTCGACTACGTTGTTTGTGAATACAAAATTGAAGCTGCAACTAGCACTAAATGAAGTTCTAGTTTGAGGTTCGACTAAAGTTTGTTTTAAGAATACAGGCGTTAGGCCTACACCAGCCCTGTAACTTCTAGCATAGGCCTAAGCCTACCCTCACCACACTGAGATGCTATGAAAATTTGAACTCTCTGAATTACAATTCTTTCATTATAAACTCTGTTCGGACGAAGGCGCAAGTAATTTGGATATGTTATTGTATACCTTTACAGTATTGTTCAATAACACTTATTAATTCTTTACTGCACTAGTTGTCGGTAATCCCTCAAAGTTCAACAAGATTTAAAATATTTGCTCTGAAATCCTCTAGTATTTATTCATTCAAGTAAGTAAGTCTAGAATTAACTACCTAATCCTGAGCATAAAACGTTGATGTTAACAGTCAGATATTTTAAAATATATTCCTACATATTTCTACCATATAATATGGTATGGAAGCACTTGGAAAAAGTCATTCCCTGGAAAATCAACAAATGCATCCTCATGGATCAAAGCATTTTTTTTTGCCACATCGGCAAACAGAGAAAAAAAACCTGATATTTTGAGACAATAATTTTATTTGTTCATTATTCTATAGCACTTGGCTTGTAAACAAAATTCATTTTTTTTTTTCATTTTTCTTATTTTGAACAGGAAAAATATGAATGTCTCACCAACAAATCTGTTTAAAGAAACCATTAACATTAACTTGACTCAAAGGAATACTGGCTAACTCGTACACATGCCAACTCGTATACACAACTCGTACACAAATTTTGGTTAGCCCGTACGCACCATTGGCTAGCTCGTACACACAGTTGGCTAGCTCGTACACACAGTTGGCTAGCCCGTACACACAGTTGGCTAGCTCGTACACACAGTTGGCTAGCTCGTACACACAGTTGGTTAGCTCATACACAAGTTTAGTGTAAGATTTACTTTTGTATTTTAAACTTTATTCAAATTGAATTGTATTTTGAGTCATATTGATCTATACTATTAAAACCTACCTATGATTATTAGAAGATGTGGTACATAAATGGTAAAAAGATTTAGAAACTTATGATCGTCGGCAGTGCGGGACTCGAAAATGATCACCTTTCCATTGAGAGGGTGCTATAAACATTATTATTATTAGTGCATTTTTTTTTAGAGATATGATTCAGACCCAGTTTTGACTTAGTATTGATTTTGTCCTTTTAACGATGCTGGACTATATACTTCCATAATACTTTTGGTATTTTTTTCAGTAGCAGTGTAATGATTACGTAGACTTATGTTGCTGCAGTATTGATTAATTTAAATCAAAATAAACTTTAATATCTGAATTTTAAATAACCATCAATGAAGTTACTATTACCACACATATGCCTTCAGTTCTTTTTATAATTGTGTTTATATTAGCTTATGTACTATTTTATAAATTTTATTAAAACTATATTTTATTATATACCTCATACATAGATTCTAGGCATCTGATTGGTTAAAAAGCTGGGCAATAGACTATACCCATAAAAAATAGTACTTTTTTGACCTGTCGCGATGTGCAAACTCTAGGCCCACTACATCGCGCTGCTGAGACGGTAAAGGGGACTGTGACCTCTATGACAAGATTATCCCCTGACCGTGTCACGGATCAGCGAGTAGACGATAAACAAATATGGAGGCTGCTCATTTCGAGATGAAGGAGGACTAGACTAGGCATAGCATCACTTCTTGATGAAGCCGATAGCAAAAGCACCAAAAGACAAATTAAATATGTCTTATCAATATTTCACAAATATATTGCAAGAAGACTGGTGCTGTTGAAATTGAGGAAATAGCAAAGAAGAGCTAGACACACTTTTTGATCGCCTACAGTACAGTCAGGAAATAGCGCTTCGTATCTGCGCATAACCACTCGTAGCCTGCTCGTAGGTACCGTTTGGAACGTAGCTACGAACCACTACGAAGGTCATTGTTATTTTAATTAGCTTTGCAATGATCGTAGGCTGGATCGTCGGGCTGATAATCAATGCGTAAATAATATTGAAATATAGTTTACCAGCTTTCAACACGTAAGCAATCTTGCAATTTACTAAATAAACAATGTTAGAACTTTATTGTTTTGTTATATCATAGAGAAAATAGAACAGAAGGAGTAACATCGACTTTATCGCTTATCTTTAATCCAATTAAACAGTCAGCTAGTGCCTATTAAATTGCACTACGGCCACCCGCGGAGCTTATCACAGCACTATCTCTTTGTACACACAGCTCCTCGCCGCTTAAGTGTAAACCCCTATAGACACTCTGGCGTTAGTGGAGTACTTAATACACAAACATTTAAACATTAGAATTAAAAAACACATGCGCAGTTCATCATCCACGGTTTGTTTGTGTGC